CCACCATCACCTCGCGGGAGATCCAGACGGCCGTGCGGCTCCTGCTGCCCGGCGAGCTGGCCAAGCACGCCGTCTCCGAGGGCACCAAGGCCGTCACCAAGTACACCAGCTCCAAATAAGCTCTCTGTGCACTCTGTGCCAGAGCTGCTCGACCCAAAGGCTCTTTTAAGAGCCACCAAGTTTTCAATAAAAGAGCTTTAATTTCTGTTTTCTATTCCAGTTTTACTGATGCTGTGTTCTCTGGTTATCTTAATGACCAATGTTCAATTCTAGTGATCTAAAGGCCCTAACATGGTTTAGAACAGAACCTCTAACTGTGGTCTGTACACTTAACTCTTTATGGCTTCCTATGCCCTAATGAACCTAGCCCTTCCTGGTAAGCCTTCACACTGCCTCTTATGTGTGCACTCTTGTGGGCTGCTTTGATTGCCAGCTCGTTCGGCACCTTCCCTGCCATGTCTGCTTGCTGCATGCCATTGCTCAGTGAAAGTTCCTGGTGTCTTCAGCTCTAGTCCATCCCTTTTCCCTGTTCTCATAACATAAACTATGTTATCAGTCATAAATATATGCCAACATAGTTTAAAACTGTCTTTGAGGATTTAAGTAATTAATTAGTAAGGAAACACTTTTTGGTTTTAGTGTTTTGCTTCATTGGTCTTCCCTATCTGGAAAAAAAAAAATTCCGTTTAAAATTTATGTCTTAAAGGAATAATTAAGCTATTTCCTAGTACTTTTTATTCTAAGGTTCCTAATACAACGTTAGTGGTTTCAGAACAGACTAACATTCAGATGGGTACGGTCTAATCGCGCATCAACGACTGCGATTCCTTAGCCCCTGCTGCCCTCTGATGGGCGTTTCCAAAATTTCTGTCATTTTGCATTTTACAGCTTCAAGTTAAGATCTCAGACTGAGACACATAGGAAAAACTGCAATAACCGATGAAAAACACGTTCCAAAGGACACTATGCAAGCGAGACTTACAAGACAAAGAAACTAAATAACTGTCAGAAAACACCAGTGACAAAGCTCTTCAAACGAAAGACTTGGTGACTCTTAAAGGAACCTTTGGGTTAGAACTGAGGAACCGGGAGACGCTCTACTTGGAGCTGGTGTACGTGGTGGCGGCCTTGGTGCCCTCGGAGACGGCGTGCTTGGCCAGCTCGCCGGGCAGCAGGAGCCGCACGGCCGTCTGGATCTCCCGCGAGGTGATGGTGGAGCGCTTGTTGTAGTGCGCCAGGCGCGAGGCCTCGCCGGCGATGCGCTCGAAGATGTCGTTGACGAAGGAGTTCATGATGCCCATGGCCTTGGACGAGATGCCCGTGTCGGGGTGCACCTGCTTCAGCACCTTGTACACGTAGATCGAGTAGCTCTCCTTGCGGCTCTTCTTGCGCTTCTTGTCGCCCTTCTTCTGCGTCTTGGTGACGGCTTTCTTGGAGCCCTTCTTGGGCGCGGGGGCGGACTTGGCTGGCTCGGGCATGGCAGCAAAGGCGTGGCTCTCACTCACCAACTACCGCCAGTATCAAAGCAGCGGGTAGCACCACTGCCCATGGGAGCCCTTTTCCAGTGGGCTGCCAGTTACATGCACGGAAGGTCCCACTCCGACGGCCCCGTGACTCATCGAGGTCAGGGAAATGGGGAGCGTGGGGAGTTTCTGTCCCAGGCAACGTGTGCTTCAGTCAGGTGCAGGATAATGCATGTTGTGGGGGTGTGGAGCGATCGGTGTTGTTGTGGGGAGAAGAGCAATGTGTTTGTCATCACCGCAGAGCCATATCCGTGGCTGTCTGTGTGTCCTGGGGAGCAGAGAGGTGGCAGGATCGTGGGTTGCAGGGTGATGGGAGTGATGTCAGATATTGCAAATCCTGTGGTAGATTAGAAAGTCCTGTTTTAAATTAAGTTAGTTAGCCAAGATCATTCTGAGCTTTTCTATTCTTCCTGATTAATGGTGCCTCACCTGGAGCACCAATTCTGATCCTTTCTATTCTTCCTGATTGATGATGTGTCCCTCTTGGTAGAAAAACGAAACATTGACTAGATATAGAGTGACTTAGCAGTCAAAGCGAGGAGGGGATACCTCCTCAAACGACCACCGAAGACCACCCGAGACCCCCGCACATGCGGAGAAGGCAATTGATGTGTCATGGTTATGTATGTAATCCTATGCATATGCATTAGGTAGTTTGAATACGTACTAGATAGGAGTAGTTTAATAAATTAGATGCAATTGTTACTGTATAAAAGGGACACACCTGATCAATCTGGTGTGCTTGATTTGTGGAACGTCCACCGAGCACCCTGCGCAGAATAAACCAGTGTCTCTCCTGAGCGTGTGAGATTGGTCTGTCGCACAGCGGGTAACGAACCTGCTTTCAGGACAGCAGGAGCGTCTTTGGGGCGAGAAGTGAGGTGTGTGTCCCTCGGCGCAGAGCCGCGCGTGTGGAGGGAAGGAGCGGAGCCGTGTGTTCCGTGTCTGTCGGGGCAGAGTGGTGCGTGTGGTGTCGGTCTCAGGGGGCGGTGTGTGTCGGGACATAAGGGCAATGTCCTCGGGGAGGGGGGGCGCAGAGCGATCGCCGTGTCCTACGCCGGGCGATGTGCGTGTCCGTCGGTGCGGAGCGGTGTGTGTGTAAGGGATGGCGGTGCCGCACGCAGGGCGATGTTTGCATCGGAGAGTGAAAAACCTAGTGTGCGTTTCGGAGCTCACTGTCTTTTCCGGGAGCACAGTGCGATGTGTGTGTCGGAGACACACTGTGTACGTGTGCCTGCACGTCATTTTACGGATGTGTGTGTGCCTCTCATTTTACGGTAAACATAGGGAACGTTAAGGAGGCAAAGGATGTGTACGCTGAAGCAAGCAGTGTACTGGAACACACCAGTGGGCTGTTGAGAGAAGCTGCAACAAGCGCTCCGCGTGGGGACCCCCGAGCGCTTGGAAGGGGACACCAGGTCTTCCTTCTGCTGCTGCTCGACGACGTGGGAGTGAGTGTGGCGTGCACTTCACGCCGGTCATCTTTTACCAGCGTCATTTCGGGTTTCCTCGGTCCGGCAAGCCGCCGCAGCGCCGCGCCGGCAGTACCCGCTGCCCGGGGCGTTCCGCCGGCCCCTTTGCCGAGCACGGGCTATTCCCTTCTGGAAGCGGCCGTGTTAGGGGTCCGGACACCTGTTTCTTGCACCGCTGCCGAAGCCCTTGAGCGGAGCTCTCACACTCGTGGGTCCCAGATTAACCCTTGTCGCGCTTCAGCAGCACGGGTGAACCAGAGGGGCTGCGCCCGCTCCCGGCCGTGTCCCGGAGCAGCTCCTCTCCCCGGCCGCTGCACCCCACCTCGCCTGCCCTGTCGCGGAGGGCCCGGCGTGGGGCCGGCGGTAATCCTGCCCTGCTTCTCCTCTCGGTGCTGAGGCTCCGTCTTGGCTGGGTGGTGAGGGAAAAGCGATTGTACGTGCAAGTTTTCTAAGTGTGGGAACTGCCGAATATCTGTGTTTTGCCCTGTGTGGAAGTCTTGGACCCCTCCCCAGACCCCCCGTCCCTCCATTTGCTGGTGCTCAGGGCTGTGGCGGAGCTCGCTCATTCGGGAAACAGCCCTCTTCGCGTTGGATTTTTGCAGATGTGTGTCACCTCTCTGCTATTTATCGCCTGCCGAAGTCTTCTTCCTAATAGACAATGGTGTGTATTGCATATTGTCTGGGAGAGAAAGCTAAGGGCCATGGAAAGAGGTGGTGAGAAACAGCTGGAATCAGCATCAGAAGGCTAAGTAAAAAAAAAAAAAAAAAATCCCAGGCAGGACAAATCAGTTTTCGGGAGCTCATTATCAAACTTCGCCTGGCAGCCACAAGCGTAGGGAAACAAAAACATACGAGCCACAAAGGTAGTTTGATTTCTTTCTAGACACGAACTAAACTGTATGGAGAGCTGAAAACGAGTAACGAGCTGAACTCATTGCTCAGGGTGGATCTACCAACCCGATATCAAAGGAAATGGGAACGTATCTAAGACAAAGAAAAACATTTGCACATCTGAAGACAGGGGTTTTAGCACCCTTTTCTTCTTGCAAAGCACTGTCTTTCCCACAGGAACAGCCCACAGAGATATTCAGCCAGCCTGCCCCTCTCCTAACTTTTTGTGTTCTTTCAGCTCTTACGGAAGAACTGGTTCCCTGAACACAGACTGACATTTGGAAGGGGAGTTCTGGGCGCCGGTTCCACGCAATGGAAAATTGGACCCTGGGCCGCCAATCCAGAGCAAAAATGCTTTAATCATCACATTAACTGTGTACAGGCAGATTTCATTGCTGTTCTACCTGTACTTCTGCATCCAATAGAACGCTGTTCCCATAAGGAAAACATACTACTTGTTGCTAGGACCTTCTTTCTGCCTTTCCCGTTGCCAGACTTGAAGGTGACTTGTTTGAGGATTTCTCAAGATCTTGCCCTTCACCCATGGGTTTTAACCTCGTGGCTTTGGGGTTGTATTGAGGCTCAGGCTTTACCTTACACGCTGTGCCCGGGCATCTCTGACTCCACTGGCTGCACTTCCCTGGCTCGACCTTGTCCCAGCCTCGACCTTGTCCCAGCCTCGTCCCCATGGACTTGCCCAGTGCCCGGGGGCTGTGGCTGTCCCTGATCGCTGCCACCATCCTGCCCCACTCACCATGGGCGGCTGCTGCGGGGCTGTGTCCTTGGTGGGGACAGCATGGCCCTGCCTGCCCCGCTGTCCCCCTCGTCTCCCAGCTCAGCTGCCCTTGTGGGGCAGCCCCCTCCTGCTGCTCCCCCCAGACTTTGTGGAACCTGTCTGTCCACCTAGGAGTGTATTTACTGAAGTTAACTTAGACTTAATATAGAATCTCCTCCCCTTTCAAATAGCCGTCGTTTACACATC